AATCATGCGATGAATCATCTTCTCGAATGTAGGCGCTTTCATCATGAAGTCGAGAGCATGCTTATCCCAAGGATTGTAGTGTTTGAGAACCACCAATGTCATGTAGAATTCGTCTTTAGCAGACGTGGGCGACTTTCGACCGCGACCCAGCGTCCAAGATGGAACTACTGTTGATTCAACGATTGCCCAGATCGATTCGAACTCCGCAAGCGTCAAGTTCATCACAATTGTACAGTGAACGACAGATTTTAAGCCACACCGATGTTTCAACATTGCAATGGAGATTTATATCGAGTAAAATGCAAGAAACATGATTAATGAACCTCATTAGACAAATTTATGTATCCGCGCCAAATTCAATAATTTAACCGCGAACTCTTGAACCATGCCACCTCATCACAGCAGTATTGAATTCTCCGGCACTATGGAGGACGATACGACGAAAAATTCCAACGGAGGCCACCGACACGTGTACTCGATATCACTTAAGCTCAAAGCCCTTGCAATGCTACAACACATGTCCTACCGAAAGGTTGCCGAGGAACTCTCCGTTCCTTACAGCTGCGTGCGAAATTGGAACAAGGTGTCGCTGCCTCAAGCATTGTTGCACGGGTTTTTGCTGCTTTCTTGGCTTCCAGCCATTTTCAAATTAGTTGCATTCGATAGAGCGTTTCAATGCGGTGATTTTGGTACAAAAGCGTCGATATTGGATGAAAATTGAAGAAGTTATGGCCAAAATACGTTTTGCTGTGCCCAGAGCGCGAGGTTTTCATATTTTATTTAAATTTTTGACAATTGATTGAAGACTGGCTATTGGTCAGAATATTCGTCGAATTTCGTAGTACGTTAACCAATCACGTCTTCAGATTGCGTCAATACTTCGAGTCCAAGTGTGGCATAAAATCCGTCGTTCACTATAGTACTACAAAACCCATACAATTCGACGTCGCACTTACACCGAGAACGCATTTAATCGGAAGTGCAGCCGAATTTGTGGTCCTACGTTGCATGTTTTGATTGGTGGAAATCTCTAGGTTTTAAAGTGTTTTGATTGGATGTATTTGTTTCGAATACAAAATTCTCAATCTGATTGGTCAAAAGAATAAAGAAACCCTGCCGTCAGTGGCGACCGCCCAGTTCTGAAATCACATCCTCGCCGCCATGTCGGACGTCAACGCGCTCGTGATCGAACCCTTGAAGCAATTCGCCAAGAACAGCGTCCACTTGGTGAAGAAGTGCACCAAGCCCGACCGCAAGGGTAAGCTTTGTCCGCTGTCAGCGACGGCGATGTAGGACGGAGTTTGACGTCGATTTTGGTTGTGTAGAATTCGCCCGCATTGCCGGTGCCACCGGTGTTGGCTTCCTCCTCATGGGGTTCATTGGTTTCTTCGTCAAGTTGGTCCACATCCCCATCAACAACATCCTTGTGGGTGGCGGTAGTGCCTAAGCGACGACGCGGCAGTGCAAAAGGACCCGTCTGGATCGGCCCGTCCAAACGACCGCCACACGCGCAACCCTTTGTTAGAGTAAGGAGATAGTTTATTAGTATGACGCTCAATATCAATTGACATTCCCATGCGACCGATGGTACCCCTTTGTGCGCCACGTTCATCGTGCCGACCGGCGGCGTTTCAACTCATTCGACGTTACACAACGAGGTCGCGTACGATGGCCGCCGCAACGTCTTCTGGCGATGACCATCATCGCATGCACTCCATGTGGCTGACCCAGCGCACGGTCCATGGTCACACAGCTACGTTCAAGGACATGGCGCTCAACCTGCCACGGAATGCCGCGAAAGGCGTCCATGTTGGTCGATCCGTGGCCACGGTATCCCTCTTGACGCTCCATGGCATCGTCGTAGAACTTTCTCGGCCTCGAAGACCGCCGCTTCTTGCATGCCGAGGGCAGTCACGGCCTGCTGCCACGTACGCCCGTATATGCAGCTCCGACCCTGCACACAACTCTGTTAGGTTGCCAAGTTCGCGACTCCCCACTGGAGATTGTGCGGTGCGGCATAATTACATAGCATTTACGACAACCAGAAGACGACTGCATTGCGTGTAGCGCGATTCAGTTTGGCGACGTGGACACGGTCGCTGCCGCGCTGGCCAGCACACACTCGACGCCTCGGCAAACCAACAGTGTACGTGCACGTTGGAGAGTGCCGCACTAAGACACGGGCTACCGATCTTGGCGGCAGGGCGGCGAAACCTTGCTCCACATTGCTGTGCTGCATCAAGAGCACCGCATCGTCCAGCTCCTCCTGGAACACGGCGCCGATGTCCATGCTCGCACGTGTGTAAGTACACTTGATCTTCCTATGGGTGCGCGCTCCAGCTGGGTATAGTGGCGTCCGTTGCCCCCGTCTCAAAACCACGTGCCACTCCAATATGCGTTCACAACAGCGTCGGGGGGGGCCACCCCTTTGCACCTAGGTGTGTTGGCTATCGTGCTTCGCGGCACGACCTCACTGCGCGTCGTAGCCTGCAGCCTGTCAAATGTCGCCGCCGCCAAGGCTCTGCTCGCAGCCGGAGCACAGGTGCGTGCTCCATTGTTCCGCACGTATCGCGCGACATGTCCCTAACTCTCGAGGGGGGGGCTGTGCCCGTCCAACTCGTGCGCCGACAGACTGAAATCGGAGAGAACGAGGTAAGGTAGGTCGATGGCAAGGGGATGGCGGCCCCTTCGACGGTGCGCAGCTCACGGGTGTGTGTGTGTATGATTTGAAGCTGTGTGGCACACCGCTGGTTTGGGCCGTTTGGTACTTGAACCTGCACATGCACACATCCCCTGACAGGTTTGAATGCAGCGCCGCCGACAAGCCGTTGGAAATGGTGCGGCTGCTCCTCGCCGCTGGCGCATCGCCCGACTGCCGAGACCTCGAGGACAATTCGGTCGTTGCAATTGCCGTCATGTGGTGGGTCGACCCTGCCCATGCAACTCGGTTGTATCAACTCGTGGCTGCCCTCGTCCAAGCCGGCGTCGACGTGAATCACAAAAACGTGTGCGGATGGACGGCGTTCGACGTTGCTGCCACTGACGCTGCCAAGGCCATGCTCCGCCGCGTGTTTCGCGCGGCATCTGGTCGGTGCGTCGAGATTGAACGGACTGCAAACGTCGAGCGAGAGCGTGATGAAGGCCGGCCGTGGTTGCGGCCGCTCAAATCGCCACCGCCAGCCCCGCCCATCGAGAACGACGACCTGTGTGCCATCCCAACCCTGACGACCGTCAAGAACTCGATCCGTTAGATGATGTAAAAGGAATCGCGATAACGATGGGTTTGGAATGGGCAAAAAAGATAGAGAGGTCGACGGCGGGGGCTGGAACGGATGGTGCATGCCAAACAACAATTCGTGCAACGTGGTGGATGGCCCGCCAGTGTGTACAGGTGCAGGTGGTCAAGCGAGGCACTGCGCGCCTTCCTGCGATGGTTTCTACTTTCGCAAAGCCATGCATTCGCCGTGACGGCATGCATGAGGAACATCGAGATGCATGGCGCCAACAAAAAACGACACGTTCGAGCCAAGAAAGGGGTTGGTCACTCGGACTATACACTACTCACGTTTACAGTCACTTGGTCGACAAAAACTCGTGGCCAGGAATCAATTCTTCTTCGAGCGTGCCAATCTTGGCATCGTCGTCGTCATCGCCTTGAACGTTGTGGCCGGTGTGGAGCTGCGTTTGCCAGCCTGGCTTGCGAAACTCTCCTTCGAGCTTGGCCATGACGACGGCCGCGAGGCAGTTCCCTAACACGTTGGTGAACGTGCGCGCCATGTCCATGAACCAGTCAGCGCCAAGGAGCAGGCCGACAGTCCAGGCAGGGATGCTAAATTGGTCCAGCGTAGCTGCAATCACAATGATGCTGGCCGACCGAACCCCCGCGACACCCTTGGACGAGATCATGAGCATGAGCACCATCGTGATTTGCTCGCCAATGGACTTTTCCACGCCCGCCGCTTGCGCGCAAAAGATGGAGGCGAGCGTCAAGTACAACGTCGACCCGTCCAAGTTGAACGAGTACCCAAACGGCACAACAAACGACGTGATGTGCGGGGCGACCCCAAACTCTTCGAGTGCTTCAAACACCTTGGGCAGCGCGGCTTCCGACGTGGCGGTCGTGTACGCAATGATGAGCGGTTCCTTCATCCCACGGAGGAACTCGATCGGGCTCAACTTGACAACCCATAAGATGGGGCCAAAGATCACGATGATAAACACGACAAGCGTCAAGTACAGCGTCACGACAAGCATGCCCAAGCTCGACAACACAGACAGACCGCCGTTGTTGGCGATCGCCGCCGCAATGCTAAAGCACACCCCGATCGGCGCCGTCCAGATCACAATGTCGACAAACTTGAACATGACCCACATGACAGCGTCGGCGATGTCGAGGATCATTTGCTTCGACTTGGGCTCTGCGAGCGCCGTCGCACATCCAAACACGACGGACGCAACGAGGACCTGGAGCAGTTCCGACGAACCCGACCCACCCATCATTTCGCCCCACGTCTTGGGGGTCAGGTGGTTGATCCAGATGCCGTACGTAAATTTGTCGGCGGTCGTGACGTTTGGGTTCGAGACCTTCTTGAACCCGTTGTCGCCCGGCTTGACCACATTCACGGCGAGGAGCCCCACGACGAGGGCGACCGTCGTCACCACTTCAAAGTAAATGAACGCCTTGAGCGCCACACGACCAAGCGCTTTCAAGTCGCCGTTGCCGGCGATCCCGACAACCAGCGTCGAGAAAACGAGGGGGAACACAATAAATTGCACAGGCCGAAGGAACAAATTGGCCGTTGGCGCCGCCTTCTTGCTAAAGTCGGGCGCCTGCGACCCGAGGATAATCCCCATGATCGTCCCGACGATGATCCAAAACGTGAGCGACGTCAAGACCTTGCGCGTCAGGGTCTTGGGCTTGTGGTGGTGGACGACAGCAGCGTCAGCATTCACGTGAACGACCATGATCCCCGCGAGTCGATTGTACGCACGGCGCACCAAGTTGAAAAATGGTCGGCCTGTCGGACGACGCGCTGCCCTTTCTCGCGTCGCCGCGTTAACTCGGGTCCATCCACAGGGCATACAAACCGCCAGTGTACGACACTTGATAAGATAAAACGTCAACATCTGGAAAGGTTTTGCGTCGGTTTTTACAATATAACGTGTTGTCCCAGCACGTGCAAAAGCCCAACATGCAAACGTCGTGAGTCCCACCACCACACGTGACCATCCCGCCTGTCGGCGACGGCGGTGTACCCCACCCAAGCATCCACTGTCCATCATACTGCTAGTAGAACGTGATGTCGCAGTCTTCGACTCGTCAATGGTGCTGACATGTTTGCCTCGCCTGGTCTGGGAATGTTCAACTTCGTGTCCTGGCGTTGGTTACGTTTTATGCCTTTTTGAAAAAACCCATTGGGTTGCCACCACGTGGCGGATGCGGAACGACCAAGTTCAACGAGCCATACCAGTCGCGCACGGGGGACGAGTTTGGGTGCCTCGGAGGAATGCTCTGTGCTGCGCGCGTCATGTGGTCCCAACGATGTCCGTCTGCCTTGCGACCGCGCGCAAAAGTCGGGGTGCAAGCAGTGGGAGAGTACCTCCAGTTGGCATGTCGGTTCGGAGGGGGGACGAGTGCAACTGCACTCTTCCAAGGGAATTACGCTGTCCTGTCGTCGTGGGGTTGTAACGTGCCGCCCTGGACATGGCGCTGACCGTGCCTGGGTTCACTCGGTCCCGTCGAATGGATTCGATGCAAGCGAGGAGCATGCCGTGTGGAGAGCCGCGTTGTCGTCGACCCCACGCGATCTCTTTCGTTGCGGTGAAGACGGGGTGCGATGGCTGGTGGGGTCCGTGCCAACGGTGGGTACCTACGGAATCGTGGTGGCAAGGTATTTTCTATCTTCAAGCTCTCTCGGGTTTTGTGCACCCAAGAGGGCGGACCAGCTCAAGGGACATCCAACGATCGATGGGTGTGCCGTCCTTTATCGCCGGCCGCACCTACATACCCCTCGGCAACTTCAACGTCAACTTCGCTAACTCCACGAACCCGACATGGATACGCGACGGATGGTTCAGGGAATCCGTGCCTCGTGCGCGGCGACCAGACCCGGCCGTGCGAGGACGTGGCATCCTGGCGGTCTCGGCTGGTGGACGGAAGACCTCTGTCGCCTCTCTGGGGTGCATTCGCCTTGTTGTATATTTCAGCACACGTTCCAACCAGAGCTCGTCGGCGTCCGTGCTGCACATCCAGACGAGGGCAGCCCTGCGACAATCGGTTTTTCTCAACGTCGTATGCGTGATACATGCACCTCCGTTCCACTTTTCCTTTCACATGTGACGCCCTCGCGTCCACTCGACTTGAACAGGTGATTGCGACCATGTGATGCTTCGCCCACTTTCGCGGCGTGTCGCGCTGCCAGGTGGATGGACACCTGATGCTGAGGTGGCACGGATGCGAAAAACAGCAACCCTCGAGAGTTGAGAGCACGAAAGGTCGTTCCGAAGTTGATTATTTGTCTTGCTTGGCTGGCTGGGTAGTGTGCAAAAATCTCCATCATATGCTGCTGCTTTGTGGATACATGGTGTATAAGGTTATACAGTGAATCAACATTAACCAACACTGTTGCGACGGTCCTTGGCATTCGTTGCAACGCCAATTTGTCTGATGCGGCGTGTTTGAAGGCTCGCTTTGCTCCCAGCTGGGGATTCGCATCCATGCTATCATGCGCGGTGTCCCGACAATCCAGAAAAGTACGCGTCGACGGCATCGAGTCGCCTTGCGATGGCAAAAATCTTGCGCAATGGATGGATGCCCAGTCTCTTGCATTTAATATATTTTTTGATAGTGAGGATGGCGGTTCGAGGTCCTTCATATTTGATACTAGTATATATTAATATATATATCAAAATTTCATACATTTAGCGCCTCTCGGACTTCGGAATACCGCTGTGGACATGACCACAGCAATGCTGGCGAAAATGCTTGGAATTCATCGACATGATACCAGTTGACTCTGTGTTCGAGGGTCCCCCTGCAACGATAAATTGTCTCGGTCCTGGCGCACAAGTCGTGCACCACGAATCGTTGGAGCCGGGGATTGTGAAACGGAAGCGAAGGCGACGTTGACTCGAACGGAGTGTGTAGGTAAACTGCTCAAGGGTTGGCCGAACGTTCCAGTCCAACCGAAAAGGTCTCGATCGACAGCTCCATCATGCAGTCGTCTGCCTGGAGTGTCGCTTTCAGTGTCCTTCCTTTGCGACAGGTGCCTTTCGACCGCAACGCGCGTAATGGTACCCGAACGGATTGCCAGAAGCGCCTACTTCCATTCGTATCGGACAACATGGGTTGGTGGGAAAACGATGATGTGGTCGAGCAAACGAACGGTCGCAACGTCCATGCCTTTGGCTGTAGCTGCAGTAGAACGAGCCAGAGACCACACGTTGGCTCCTTCACAACGAAAAACGGCATGTTGAAATTCCTGGCCGATGTGGCATGCGTTCGAGCGCACAGAGGGGCGCGGAACAAACACCTCGAGATGTCCTGGTCGTACTCTCCACTTCGTGGGCTCCAGGAGGTTCAGGCGCAAGGGTGCGCCAGTCATGCCGCGCGCCGTTGAAAGTACGAATCACAACTTGACCCGCAAATATGGTCGGTCTCCATCATGTCGACTGGACTCGTCCATGTGGGCTCGGGGACCAAATATCAACTCCCTCGGAGCCGCCCCAAGCTGTGGATTTCTAGTCGAGGCACGTCAACAGTGTGTAGAGTACGACACAGTCCAACAACCATGATGAAATCGACACAGCAACGTGGAGCCGTGGCGTGTGTGTGACAGCATGACAATTGAAGAAGTCCAAGATCGGGAAGCGACTTGGCGTACGAGGCGCATCACGGACAAGCCTATGGGCGTGATGCCGCTAGCTTGACCGTCGTGAGGTACTGCCCAGGACGGTTCGAACACACCAGCCAATGTGAAAGGATGGTGGGTTGGCAAAGGCGATATTTGATGGCTTGGATAGATGCGAGGCGAACAGTCACGTGATCCGTGAAATCGGTATTATCACGGAATAGGAGCCAAAGCACGAAGTTGTTTTCTGGCTCGGCATCTAGGGGGCCTTCGGTCGCTTCGGCGTCCATGCCCACGTCATCTGGACCTCAACGGGCCGCTCTCCTTTGGCATCTGTGAGCACCACATCGACAACGACGTTTCCTTTGTCGTCACGTTCAAGTGCTTCGCGCTGGGTCGGTGTCAACGTCGCGACGGCTCGGAGATCGCCCTGCGCGCGCTTCACGTAGTTGATCGACATGGACTTGAGCAGTGGCAGGTGCGTGTCCTTGACATTCATGCCAAACACAACACCCGACGCGGACTCGGCCAGGAGGGCCATGCCGCATGCGTGGACGCTCCCAATGTGATTCTGCACGCGGAACCTGTTCTTCAACGTCAACACGCTTTGGCTTTCGCTCAACGACTCAATGTGGATACCAGCCAGACCCGCCATCTTGACCTGGCTGTTAAATGCTAGCGTTAGCGCGCCCTCGCGAACCGACGTCGGCAGACCGCTCTGGTTGATCTTGGCCACCAGCCCTGCCAGCTTGTTTGCGCCCATCGTTGGTCCAGTTTTGGATCGCAAACGACGAAAACAATTTCGGATATCGTCCGGATAAAACTGCTTGCGCATACACGAATGCCGCGGGAAAGCCCGCTTGAGGTTTGCAAATTGCGACACCAGCGCAACAAAGGATCTCTTCTTCTTCGTGGCGGCCATCATGCAAGGAGGCCAGCACGCACTGCTTGGATCTGCGCTTGCAACAGAGCATTTACCACGCCTTTGCAGGTTGGATGCGACCAATCGTTCGGACCAAATTTCGCGGCACCCCCAGGAGTTTCTCGCACTTTGATGCCGCCCTGCCAATCAAACTCCATGACGCGAATGTCGGCATTGACCCAAAATCATAGATGGGCTTGCTTGGCTCGACGCCTAAAATGCACCGTGCTTTCCAGTGGCAAGAGCGGAGCGAAGACTACGAGTTGTCGAAGGCGACATGCATGACTTCTTGCACGATGTGATCCGTCGGCAACAGCGCGTCACGAAGGATAGCTTTCTGTCTACCATCGAAGCATTCAAGACACACCATCATGGTTGCCCGTGCAACGTACATCTTGTCCACGCTGTGGCTCACTCACTCCTTCACGTTCCGCTCATCGAGGATCATAACGGTGGCCCTCTCCAGCGCATCGAACACCATGGTGCAGTACTCGACCAAACTCTGCCACCGGTGATACTGAACGCGACGCAGGCCTTAACTGACAGGGGCACGAGCGTGCTACAAGCCCAAGCGCATGTCATGCCAGTCCTCGCTCGCTACTGGAGAGTTCGCATCCATCTGGGCAGTTGCAAGATGCCAAAACATAGCACAATCGGCACAAGCACCACCATGCCCTTGCATGCATGCAAAGCCTCGTACCTCTACCTCTCTCCATGAACGTCGCTCGCGGCGCCGCCGGGCCGTCGTTGGTGTTGGGTTGTATCTGTTCAGGTGGGCAATGCTGATTGGCCGCCTCAGTCGACAATAATAATATACCCTTCGAATAACGTTTCATACAAAAATAAAGTTAATAAAGTATATTAATGGACTTTGCTTTCCAAATCTTGTCGTGCAAAATACTACGTTGACCAACATTCGCCTGTCAGTGCGCGACGGCACACCGCCGGGCCCGCCGATATTGCGCCGTGCTCCATGGAAGTGTTTATCGAGCGCGCTGTGGGGAAGATCCGCAAGACTCTTAGCCGACGGGACAAGGACAAGGAACTCCGTGAGAGTTGCGATGAAGTGCTGTCGCATCTGAAGGCTGGGACCCCGCATCTGTCGGAGGAAACGTACTTTGCCCCGCTCTTTTGCGCGATCCTGACAAAACACAGCAGCAAAACGACGTGCCTGGCGTTGGACTGTATCGAAAAGCTGCTTGCATTCGGGTACATGCGCGGGACGGCGCCGATCACGAGTTCGCTGCAAGCGCACCTGCAACGCACGCTCAACCTCCGCGAGGACGACATGAACATGACCGCGAAGCACAGTGTGTTGCTCATTGACGCCGTCGTTGAAGTCGTGTGCAGCTGTCAAGATCACAATGACACCGACGTCCAGCTCCAGGTGCTCAAGGCCGTGCTCACCGCCGTCACCAGCACGTCATGCGCGGTCCACGAACACTCGCTCCTCAAGTCGATTCGCGCCAGGTGAGCTGTCCACCTTGTTCGAAACCTTCTCGTCCGGTCCTATTCATTGCATCGCCTTCACCGATCGCGGCGACGACACATCTTCTCATCCCTCGCGTAGTTTCCACATTTATTTGGTCAGCAAGAGCGTGATCAACCAGACCGTCGCCAAAGGCACGTTGCAGCGCATGATTGCAAGTACTTTTCAGAGAATGGAGGCGACTGCTGTCCCCGCCGCGTCGACCGCCGTCGAGTCGCTCGCCATGTATTCTTCCGTACGTCGTCGTCGTTGTCATGGCCCATGGAGATGCTGAATGATGCACGTCCGATGGCTCACCCATCGACCTTTCGATCGCCGCGACGTGGCTCACAAGTTTCGTCCTTGCTGCAGGTGCAAGAACACTTTGGCCTGACATGCCAGCCCGGCGGCATCCGACCTCAGGCCGTCGGCGATGTCAACGGGTTCCCTTCCTTGTGGCACAAGGACGCGTACTTGGTGTTTCGCGCGCTCTGCCGCATCTCGATGCGATTTGTGATCGACGATGCGATTGGAGACGCCGCCGATGACCAGCCGCAAACAGGTCCGTCGACATCATGCTCTCGCGTTGTTTCACGGAGGGCTTCTAGACGAGCCGTTTGCGCTCCAAAGCAAGCTCATGTCGCTCGAGTTGCTGCTGGCCATCATCAACCAAGCGGGCACCACGTTTCATTCGAATGACAGGTACAGCGGGTCACACTCTGTCGAGGGATCGTCGACTCTATCATGTGTGGCGCAGGTTTCTCGTCGCGATCCGGTCCTACTTGTGCGTATCGCTTCTCGAGAACTGCACGTCGATCTATACCCAAGTCGTCGAGCTCAGTCTTCGAGTGTTCGTCGTGCTCATTACGCATTTCAAGGCCCATCTCAAGGGTACGGCGACGTGTCGATATGTCGGTGTGGCACACGTTGGTGTGCCCCACTCGTCGTGCCGTTTGAGTTGCATCATGGGTGGCTGGGTCGGACGACCGCGGTGCCGAGATGGGAGGCTGTAGCACGGTCGAGATCCGTCTCGATGCGACTGGACGTGCTCCGAATGGAGTGGTTGGAATCCACGTTTCGACGATCGGTCCAGCATGATCGAGATGGGTTGGCGGAGACCAAAAGCGTGCCAAACATGGTCGCATGTGTGTTGTTGGAATGGATGGTCGAGGGGTGTGTCGTGGCGTTTGAGTTGTGTGTCGATGGCGGTGGACGACTCGGCCGTCGCTGCCGACCGACGGGATTGCGTCATGACGATGTCGTGTAGGGGAAATGGAAATATTCATCACCAACATCTTTCTCCGGATCTTGGACAGCGAAAACTCGACGTTTGAACACAAGATGCTTGTGCTGGAAGTGCTCAACCACATTTGCGACGACCAGTTGATCTTGAGCGAGATTTTCCTCAACTACGACTGCGACTGGGACTCGATGGACTTGTTCAAGCGCATCGTGAACGCGCTGGCCAAGATAGCCAAGGCCAAACAACGCGACTCGATCCATGCGAGCGCCCCGGCCGCCCGCCAGCTCAAGATGCAGCAGAACGAAGCGGCGCTCGTGCTCAAAGGTCGGCCACACGGCACCGTCGACACTCACGCGGCTCGAGTAGGCCTCGAATGCATGACATCGACAGTGCATTCGCTGAAAAAAGCCGCCAACTTCGTTTCGATCACGGACCAAGGCAAACCAAGCCCCACGGGTACGCGCGACCATCTCTTGTTCGCGTGGTCGACATCCCCCTTCCCACGATTCATCCCATCGTGCGCGCCATCTAGACAACGATTCCGACAATGACGACGACGACAGCACGCCGCGGCCGCCATCGTCGACATCGCTCGTCGTCGGTGTGTTTGATAAGAAGAAGAAGCGGCAGGACCTCATCAGCACCGGTTCGTCCGCGACAGGTTGCCTCAGGACCTGTGGCCATCGTTTGCCGTGGTAGGCATCGTCAAATTCAACGTGAAAGCAACGGACGGCATCAAGTTTTGCACGGCCAACAACCTCGTCGAAAATACGCCGCGCAAGGTTGCCGAGTACCTGCACGAGTACAACGCGAGGCTCGACAAGTTTCAAGTATGTGGGACGGGATCGATGGGATGCGATCGGTGGTGGTGGTGCCGCCGCACCATTGCGTTGCAACCATCTCACGCGGTCGTTGGCGCGATAGCTGGGCGAGTATTTGGGCCGCGAAGCAGCGTACCAAGGCGGATTCTGCGTCAAAGTGCTGCACGAATTTGTCGACATGATGGATTTTCACAACATGCAAGTTGACGAAGCCATTCGACGGTACGAAGCGAGCACACAACGCGCGCTGCGGTCGGTGGATTCGTCGCATCGACGACTGCCACCCGTCATCGTCGCTCCTGCTGCAGCGATCCCAAGACGACATTTTTCATCGTTGTGTCTAGCTACCTATCGTATTTTCGACTCCCGGGCGAAGCACAAAAGATCGACCGCATGATGGAAAAGTTTGCCGAACGGTACGCGCCTCCAACGTGACCGTCGGGATGTGCGATGGCCAGCCGCGCTGTCCTTGCCCGAAGACGGACGCCCTTCTGACGATGGATGGCATCGTGGTTCACATGATTTCGAGAGCGCCGTTCGTTGTAGGTACCATCTCAACAACCCGGGTGTGTTTCCGACAGCGGATGTCGCGTTCATTTTGTCGTTTTCGGTCATTATGCTGCAGACGGTACGTGGCTCGACCGATGGGCTTGCGCGCGCCTTGGTCTTTCTCGTTGGAAAGCAGGCGGGCAGGGAGTTGGGCGCGGTCGACCCGAAATCTGTCGGTATCGTTGCTAAAACATGACTGCAGGACCTTCACAACCCATCGATCCCAGACGAAAAGAAGATGACCAAGGAAGGTTTTCTCCGCAACAATCGCGGGATCAACAACGGCGAGGACTTGGCCGCCGAATACTTGGGTACGTGCCTGCGGTGCTGGTCTCGATGACCGTCGCCGCGTCAGGCGGGATTTTCGATCGCATCAAGAGCACGCCGATCTCCCTCAAGGAAGAGCAGAAACTCAAGCGCGACAGTTCGACTGTGTCGGGCGCAGTGCTCGACAAGCAGCGAAAAGACGCGTACAGCCGGGAGCGCGAAGCCATGGTGCGTGCGGTAGCTGCGTGTCGATGCACACGAGCGAGCGCCATTTGGTGATGGTTTGGCCAGGTGAAAGCGTCCGAAGCATTCTTTAAGCGGCGGTCGCCGTCGTCGCGGCTACCAATGCTCCATCCAGACAAGTCCCCTGCCGCGTCGTCGTCAGCCGGACTCTTCCACGTCGTGTCCGGCTCGGCCGAACATGTGAAGCCAATGTTTGAAATTGTATGGGCGCCGCTCCTCGCCGTGTGCAGCGTCATCTTCGAATCATCGGATCACCCAGTGGCCATTCAGTACTGCCTGGACGGATTCAAACACGCGATTCACTTGTCGGCGAGGTACGACTCGATCGTCTTGAAGTCACGTTATGGGGATGGCGAGGCCGGGGTCGGCGCGCGATCTCTGTCGATTCCGTTCACATCCGTGGACGTTTGGCTTGCGCTCGTGCGACGTAACATGTGCCGTGGTGGTGGTTTGAGAATAGGTTGCAAATGCTGTCCGAGCGAGATGCGTATGTGTCGGTGCTGGCCAACTTTACGGCGGTCCAGCACTCGGCGACGCGGCCCATCGGCACAAAACAGATCGAAGCCATCAAGACGTTGATCGCGATCGCTGTCAAAGAAGGCAATTTCCTCGGCGACGCGTGGGTACGTGCGCTGGTGCGCGTTGGCACACAACGTTCGTTGTTGCGCATCTGACCAAACATCGTTGGCTCATTCCAGCGCGACGTGCTGCAATGCATTTCACACTTGGCGAGGCTGCAGTTGCATGCGCAAGGCCTCTACGCTGACACGCAATTCTTCGTCTCGCCAGCAAACTCGTCGACAGGGTCTGTCGGCGGCGTGACGGCGTCGAAGCGGATTACCTCGTTTGGACAAGCAATCCTGCTGAACAATCCTTTCACGCCCAACCCAACACCCTCGCCAAAGTTCAAGCCGCTGGTACAGCCGCCGCCGCCACGTTCGTCGTAAGTGTCCAACTGTGCTGTGGTGTAGACTTTGTCCGAGGACCAACTGGTCGCCATGGAAGCGCAGAATGCCCAGCGCATTGCCGACCAGATCGACGGCCTCGCCAGCGACAGAGTGTTTAGCAATTCGCGATACTTGACCGATGCGTCGGTCCAAGAGTTTGTCCAGCAGCTCTGTATTGTGTCCCTCTCCGAGTGCCAAGGTCCGTGCGAACAATGCCAATCGTTCATGCTTTCGATCGCGCGTGTGACGGTAGGGCTGACGGGATCCGGCATGACTGTGCGGATGGCGGCGGTCGCGACGGCGCTGCCGCGCGTGTTTTCGCTGCAAAAACTCGTGGAGGTTGCCGACATGAACATGCACGTCCGGTCCCGCGTCGTCTGGGCAAGCATGTGGAACGGTATGGTCATCATGCCAACGTTGGCGACCCGTTGACGCGTTGTTTGCGATGGCTTGTGCTGTCGACAACGTGCCACCCGCCGCAATCCGCGTTTCGATGCGCGTTGGGTTGATTCGATGATGGCTCGTAGTGCTGAGTCGCCACTTTACCACGATCGGGTGCCACGATAACCTGGGTCTGGCCATGTATGCGATCGATTCACTCAAGCAGCTCAGCATGAAGTTTTTGGAGAAGGACGAACTCCGCGACTTTAACTTTCAGCGCCTCTTCCTCACTCCGTTTGAAATCATCATGGGCAATGCCGTGTCGGTGGAAATTCGCGAACTCGTGCTCAGGTACTTGACGACACGTGCGGCTCGGTCGTCGACGTTTTTCGTGTGTAGCTGCGTCCACAACATGATCATGAGTCGCGTCGACAGCATTAAGTCGGGATGGAAAACCATTTGGGGCGTCTTGCGAGTCGCTGCGGAGACGTTCGACGTCTCCGAGCATGACACGCGAGTCGTCCTGATGGGGTTTGCGCTGGCCAAGACGATCGTCGACTGCCACTTCGATCGCGTGGTAGGTGCGGCACCGTCCCTAGTGTTTGGACTCTACTGTCGCGTCGTGGGACGATTGCGTGCGTGCCATCCAACGAGCTAGGGACCCTGGCATGATGGCCTTGTGCCGCTGCTTTGCCTGCTGTATGTCGATTGAATTTGGGAGTCGAGTTACGCTTGGTCGTGCCCAAATGGGCATGCGCGGGCACGACAGGTGCATGCGAGCTTGTCGCGTTTCGCTGTGTGGTAGCTGCCATCCCATTTTTGACTTTTCGTGTGCGTTTGCAGTCAAAGTTGCGTGCGTGGTGGGTTGGCGGCGTAAAGTTTGTGTGCACTCGACGTGCGTGCGCGATCCGTCGTGGCGATTTTAACGATCGAGCAATTGACCGCACCCTTTCACGAAGGTTGCCGTGTACGTCGACGTGGTGGAGTGCATTTTAGCGTTTGCGCTGTGTGGGTCGACCACCCACCCGCGCGCATCGCGCGATTTGCTCGACATGAGCCTCGACGCGACCGCCGTCTTGGGGCTGTGCCTTGGGTACCTACACGATTCGGGACGAACTCGATGATTTCTCGCCTCTGTAGATTCGTCGCGTCAGGTCGTGTGTTTGAACAAATGGACGCCAGCAGTGCGACATCACCTCGACATCGCGTCAACAGTGCCACCGACCCGTACGTGTCCGCGCTCGTTCGTCTGTCGGATGCACAAAGAGCTGCTGTCGAATTCATGTTCTCTCGCATATGGTGCAGAAGTTTCCACTCGTACACGAACCAAGGCACAGTGATGTGGTGGCCGGTCCTGAAGGCGCTGGTGACGCTGGCCAGCGATAGTCACCCAGAAATCAGGTGACGCTCTTTTTGACACTGTCGTCGTGTAGGGGCCAAACGCCGTCGCGATTTTCCGAGAGTGGGCCAGGATGGTTGATGTCTCCATGTGTAGAGATTCCGCTTTGGTCACGCTGTACGGCAGCCTGCACTCGAACGGTGCCGCGATCGACGCGAGTTTGTGGCACGTCCTGCTTCGGGATCTCTTGGTGCCGCTCATGGACAGCATTCGCCAAGTCGAGATGCGTGACACCGAGTCGGTCAGTCGCGCGTCGTCAAAGAAAGCGCTGTTGGCGCTTGTGACGTTGTACGGGACGTTTTACCCATCGATCGGCCACGTCGACGACGTTCTGGTAGGACGAGAGCCAAAGGTGGCGTAACACGGCATGTTTTTGCTCGGGGTAGGACCTGTTGCAGCGATGGATCGTGCTGGAAAGCGAAGACCAGTTGGCAAGGGCAGCTGCCATCGCGTACGAGACGCTGCTCGTCGAACACGGCCACCAATTCCCCCCTGCGATTTGGGAACTCATCACGGCGGAGCTGCAAACGATCCAAAGCCGGTTGCTTCCGCTCTGGTAGGCTGTTTGTTGTGCACGATGACGTGGCCATCGTGGTTTAAATGGCTGACGGGGCGGGCGGATGCGCGTAGGCTGATCGAGCCCACACGGGACCCGGCAACGCTGACCATGTACCCGTCCGTGTCAGCGATCCTGTTTCCTTCGCCAGCCATCCAAGTTGCCGTCCCGTCGCACACACACATGGACGTGCTGCTGGACACGCAGCGGATATGCGGCAACGTCCTCGTCCAAGTGGTGCACACGAGCCTGCCGCCGCACTGTTTCGATGCGATTTTGGTTTGGAAACCATGCATGCCCGTGGTCGCGACCGACTGGCGGGGTCTGTCGTAGGGATGTCTTTGCGACAGCATTGCCCTCTCGCGGCAACTCAACGACAACTACAAAACCCGTCTTGCGCTGTTCCAGCTTGGGTGGCGGTATGGCTGCCAAAGCGCCAAGGAGCTACCGCACATGTTGGCGCAAGAAATCATGGGGAAGCGCGAGTATTTGAAAGCTGTGAGCCACCACTTACCCCGATACCGCGACGAGTTTACCTCGTACGTCGCAAAACTCGTGTGGCGTGTTCAGCGAGTGGAATCGGTAGGCTGGTCGAGACGACGTTGCAAGAGTACTTGCAGTGGAGCAGCCAGGACGGCGACGCGATGTCGCAGAGCATGGACCTGCGCCAACGGTCGTACGGCTACGTTCCGCTGATCGTCGACATTTTGGAGGAACTCGCGGTGTTTTCCACGGATGAAGTGCGTGCACGACGTCGATCGGGTCTCATGTATGCGTAGATGGGGCGGCACCTGCCGTGGCTGTACCCGCTCTTGACCGAGTTGATTCAAACCAACAGCATCCAAGTGCGACGGGCGCTGTTTCAAGTGTTTGGATCGAGCATCCAGGCATTGCTGCCCCACGCAGCGCGCTTGCCCCACGACAATCACCAACTCGCCTCCCGCCACACGAACAAAGGAACGTCGCTGCTCTAAACACCATCTCGTTTTTTCAACTCGACTGGGATTATCGTCATTCACGTGGCATCGGCTCGCGCCTGCTCGATTCGACTTGTTCGAACACGCCATCCTGCATCTTGCCCGTGACACTGTTGTGGTATCAACGGGCAGCTTCTCGCGGCGGCAGCGGCCATCCTGCGTGGTGGAATGGAGCTTGGCGCTCGCATGCCATGGAAACAATGCTCGTGCACGCGCTTCGAGCGAGGACGACCTCGCCCAGTGATACAGTGCAGCGCTGGGTGGAGCAGCGAGTTGGTTTCTGCTACTCGAGTCAAGACCGAGCGTCGTTGCGAGGCGTCTGCTGAAACACGCACGCACATACCGTCGGCACCCGTGGTGAAGCCCCCGCTCGACGGCGCCGAGGCACAAGCCACAGCGATCGGCAATCGTCTGGCACACCACCACACATGACAACATTACGTGTCGTGCTCCGTTCGTTAGATCATGACGGCGCGCGTGTCGTTGATGAATATGGATGGCTCGGTGGCAGCGACGGTGGCAATCAAAATAACGTTTTTCGTGATGCCCAACTCGCTGGCAACGCTCTCGTAGCAAGCGGCAATCGCAGTGGCGATGGCAAACGTCTGGCACCAAATATGCAGCACAGACTTGTCGTACGAGTGCCGGCGGCACACGCCGACCTTGGCAACGACGAGGCCGTGCAGTTTCTTGCGTAGCAGGGCCGTGGCCTCCTGTCGTCCAAATGCCATCTCTTGTTTGAACAGCATGGCCCGGGTGACGCTGACGGCGACGCGCGTGCCGCGAATGCTGCACAGGTAGTCGACTTTTTTCCAATTCGAGCTCCAGTATTGAATTTGCATCTCCGTGACGACGTCCGTTGCGCCAAATTGCCAGTGCATGTACTCCATCGACAGTGCCTCGGACACTTCGCTGCGGCCGCCCGCGTTGGGCTCGCACAGCACCAAGGTCGCGTCCGCGCCGAGTCGCATGGCCATCCCCGGTTTGAAAGCGCCACCATATCGCTCAAACGTATCTGTCGCAAACAATACGCCGCAACGGGACGCCGTATCCGCGGCCAACGCTCGGTGTACTTGGTTGAAATCGTGGGTGTCCGCCGCACGGATGCTAAACTGAGTCGCCATCACGACGATCCCACCTGCACCGCCGTTGCTCGGGCCATGGGCACAACCGCGAGAGGCGGGGCCGACACGTGTTTCCACCCGACCTCAACCAAGTCCTCGAAACCGGTCGCATCCTTGCTGTCGTCGATGGAGTCGCTGCCATGACCAGCGCCACTTCAGAAATGCCCTCGTCCTCACGACCCCGCGTCGGGCGACCGACCGCACGACGTACACCTCGGGAATGACGATCCAAGTGGAAAATGTTGGTGCAATTCGGGAATGTTGTTGACCTGCAGGAATGTTGACGGCAGGTGGTGCAGGTTGGGAATGTTGGTGCCATGGGGAATGTTGGTCAACCTGGCATTGTGCATGCTTCGTGGCCAAGGAAATTGTCCGAGCGGAATGCGACGGCATCACGCATGGAGAACGGGAAGGTTTTGCCATGGCATGAAATCCCGCGAAGAGGAAGCTGCATGTCGGGACGGCTTCGTTCGTGTAATGTGCCAAGCGAGAAGTGGGTGCATGGGCCACGTCAACGAGTGTGGCGCTGGACAGAGGCCAAACGCATATACGCAACAGCCATGTCATTGAGTCGTGTTAAATATGGAAACTTCAGCGTCGATCCGGGCGAGCGGTCTAGACGGCAGCCGTGACCGCCGTAGGCGTCGTACCGTCCATAAGGGGAATCTCGACGAGGCCGTGGTCTTGTTGGGGCGTCATCTCCTTGAACAAAAACGACTGCGCGACAATGTCATGCTGGCGTGGGCTGCTCAGTTGCAACGGCATTGCGACCGAATACTTGACGTGGTTGCCCATCTTTTCGTGCTTGGCAATGAGCATAATGCCAACCATGACGAGCGCCAACGCACTGGGAAACATGATCCACTGGGCGGCGTTGAATTCGTGCGCTTGCTGAAAGTACACAATGCCGCTGATGTTGCTCATGCCGATCCAGAAGGCTTGAAAGACAGGGTACGCCGACATCGTGTCTCCGCACATCGTCGCCTTGTTGAGCGCATGCGTTTGGCTCAAGAGGCACACAACCATGCCCGCCAACAGAATCCACGTCCTACAACGAAGTCAGCGCAACGCACGTGCCCAACGGAATCGACATACCCCGGGTAGATGAACTGGTTTTCGCCAATGAAACTCATGTTGATGAGCTCCATCACACACTTGCCCAACAGCACCGATTGAGCACCCAGCGTACCCGAAATCGCAGCCCAGTAAAGCGGCAGATGCTTGTCGATCACGAGGGATTGTTTCTGCGACACGAGGATCTTTCCACCGTTGGGGGATTTTTCGTTGATCAGGCCTTTGTCTTCGACCGATTCGTGGACGGGAGACGGGAATGGAGATTCATGGTGTTCAGTGCTCGACCCATTGCTCGATGGGCGAACGGACGATGTGGCCGAAGTCGTGGACGAAACTTCAGATTCTTGCACGCTCTTCTCGATGTCCGCCAGCTCCTTCTTGCGCACTTCTTCCGTCACGTCGACGACGCGGAGCGCGGGGGACGTGCTTCGACGCACGCGAAGAATCAAGCACGACAAGAAAATAGACGTGCAGATGACGTAAACAATGAACGCGGGCTCGCGCATCATGTCAAATAGTTGCGCGACTTCATAATGACCTTCTTCAGCAGACGACAGTGCGAGGACAACGACCCCTGTCGACACAAGCACAACCCCCACAACGTCGGTAAAATAGAGGGGTTGTTTCAGCCAAAAATGGGCAAACAAGACGTTCGCGACAATCGTGGACCCACCACCCAAAGACGCAACGAGGGTTTGCGGCGCAAACCCGAGCGCAAACAAGTCCCCTAGGGACCCAAACACGACGAGGAACATCCCAATCCACCAAAACGGACGTCGCGCGTACGAACGCTGCTGTTCCTTTGGCTTGGCATCTTCCTGGTCGTGGGATCGTTTCTGGACATTCACGCCAAGGTTGGACGCAACTGCGGCGGCTATGACGAGGACTGCACCCAAGAAGTCGCTCTTCATGACGAGTATGGGGAGTAAGGTCGAATAGTGGATCGAACGGAGAAGACAGACGAGCAGATCGTGCGATCAGCGGCAGAAGGATGCGGTATGCCGACGTCAAATCTGTTGTGTGACCGGTGGCGCGGCCACTGGAAAGCAAAATTCCGACAAAACAAATTCTTTTCTCGGTTCGATTACATACGAAACGTGTCCGGCACCAAGCTGAAAAAAACTTCTTTTGTCCGTAGAAGCCAGTGCGAAGAGAACAGGGAACGTACCCAACGTCAAAGCAATAAAATTTCATACTGAAATCAACTATAACAAGATGGCCAGAAATAAAATACAACACCTGAGTCGACCAGCGCAGCCTTGATGACGAAACGTCCACGACCATCTACGCATGATGTCATGGCTTATGTCGTGTCATTTTTTAATTGAAATATATAACGAGATCATACGAGGGAAGTGACAATTTCACTCGTCGTAGTGCCCATGTCCCCATAGGTGGGTCATCGTTTATCTTAGGTTTTGTATGCAATGTCGACGGGTTGTCGCTGGATCTGGGAAAATTCACGTTCACATCATCGCACGAACGCCAAAAACAACAGTACGTGGCATGGACAAGTCGCGGTCCGCTAAGAGGCAGAGGAGCGACGAGTCCCCAGCAGGACCGACAACCAGGGCCATTTTCGCTACATGTTGTCTCAGAATGGCCTGGCTGGTGCGAGGGATCGACACGATTGACAGGGCAGTGCATTGGACCTGCCCTCGACGGACACGTTCAGATGGAGCTATCGTGTCGGCAGGTACGGGCGAATTTTTGAAACTCGCACGCAGCAGGCCAGATTGAACTCCATCCATCGGCATTGCAGAGCAATCGATATTTGTAGTGTGGCGAAGGGGCTTCCGGCTGAAAGGACAGCTCGGTCTACATGGAGACGGCGTCCGCTCTTAATGCACATGTCCGTGACCCATGCTTCTTAGTACCAGCACGCATCACCTGAATGCGTGTTGTCGTGCATCGGGTTAGAAGCAGAACCGAATAAAGAAATGGTGATCGCTCCAGACCACCATCATGCACTTACTTGGCCCTGGAACGCGTGAGGCCAGCAGCACTCTGTGGTGGGAGCCGCACTCGCCACCATGGTGGTTTGAACAACTTTCGCCAGTATGAGACGATATTTCATGCATTTTGAAAATCACCAAATTAACGCGATTTGGTTGGCTAAAGTTTGATCGTATCACGACCTTTTTCACACAACCCACTGCTGCGCCTGGCAACCGCACATAACACGCCTGTAATGGATGCCTGTGCAGCCTATAGGTTGCAACTGAACAGCATTCCTCTCGCCCCTGCCCCACGGGCCGCCCCACGAGTGCCCACTTTCGCGTGACCTGCTCCGAGGTAGCACGCTGCTACCTTGGTTGTGTCATTTTTGAGCAAGTCGCACCGAATGTCTCAAGATGCGGTGGAGGAGAGTATCCGGATAAAGGATCCGGATAAGGTCGGTCCCGGTCAGACACGGACATTCGAACAGGAACATGGTACGGCATGATCGTGGCGCGACAGCGACGCCTTGGACGCGGCGTGGGGATTGACTGCGCACCTTTGGTGTGCCCATGTAGTTGCGTGAGAGGGAGATGGAACTGGCGCTGCAACAGATCGTGTATGAGGAGCAGTCCAAGATGAAGGCTATGGGTACGACAGTATCATCTATCACTGTGCTCATGAAGGTGGTGATGGCCACGCGCGAGCTATGAATGCTCACGCTGACGGACCGCTCATGACATGCCTCTGCGTAGGCTTTTCCGAGGCGTACATCGGGTCGAACGATGCCAAATGCAGTATCTTCTTGTCCGGGCAATGGGAGCGCGTCACACGCCTCCTTCTCATCATTGTGAGTGGAAACGGCATCCAGCCGGGTATTTGGAGTCGATCCCTTGTCATGGAGCCCCAAGACACGACCCGCCAGTACTACCGCTCTGGCTCCATGTACTTGTCTCTTGATTCGTCGTCGTGCTAGCTCATCGCACGTCTGATGTCAGGTTGCCGTACTTGCATAAGGCCTTGTCGCTGGGGTACGGCGTGATTGTGACAAACCCGAGTACAAACATGGTGGTCACCAACCGCGGCGACAAGGTCCCAATTCCATACTCGAGCACGCCAGAGGAGCACGTGCGGTAAGCGTCACTGGGTCGACGGGATCGCGAGTTGCGCGTTGGTTTCGTTCATTTCATTCGGTTCACGGCGTCATGGACAAGTGGGCATGTTGTGCAGGCATGGTCTGCTTTTGTGTCCAACTTACGGGAGGAAGCTGCTTCCCCTTGGGCCAGCAGTGACAATGCTGCCTTTGTGTGCTCGATCTTGAATTACGACGATTTGATGTCGTCATGCGCATGCACCCATCCCAGCCGTCTCTCCTGACGCCGTGCATGCACCTAGGTATGTATGGGAAGCGTTTGCCATGCAGGCGCGTTGCCATCAAGTGTACATCGCCGCATACGGACGCGGCGGCGTCCTGGCCAAGCACTTGCTGCTGACGCAGCCCGTACTGCGACAAAAGTTGGCGGCCATTGCCTTCATCGAGTCAAGCCACCGCGTCAGCGCCGACGACCCCGAGGTACACGTCTAGATGGATCCGGTGCATTGCATCCGCACCCTGCCTTGGACTATTCAAGGAGCTGTTCTTGGCGTCATTCCCGACCTACGGCGTCTACATGCCATCACTGTTGTGCTGGCGTCGCCAATGCTGACACGACCTACCTAGGACGTGCGCACCATCATCAGCACCCGCGCGATCAACTGGCAGCGGTCAGCTGAAGTCGCAGGACGCCAAGTACGGTGCATGCCGCGCATCATCTTGGTATCTCACGCCGTCGATCTCTAGCTGCCCGACTGCGCCCAGCTCGGGTGCTTGAGCTTGTCAGCTGGCGAACCGCAAGCCACCCGCTTGTCTGGTGAACAGCGCAGCACGAACACAGCATGGACGATTGCTGCGAGCATGGAGACTGTGTTTGCTTTTTTTGACAGCGCGCGCGGGTACTCGACGATTCCCATTTGACTGCCGCCCTCTCGTGTGTGTGGCACTGCATGCAAGACTTTTGTAGGTACGACTTGGCCGAAGAGCAGCAGTTCATGGAGCAGGTGTACGGCCAACAGCCGACGTACACGCAGCCGCCGCCGCTGCACCCGCAGCCACCTGCGCAAGGCCAGCACGAAGACGGCGACATGGTCATTGAGCACGTGGTGGACACCAAGTCCCGCGTCACCAGTACGTGGGCCGCTCTCTCTCCCGCGACATGGTCACTCGTTGAACGTCGCGGCAGGTAGCAGCATGGTCATCTCGACGTCGATGAGCGTCGCCGACTTTGACTTGCTCAGCGTCGTGGGCAAAGGCGCGTACGGCAAAGTGTTTTTGGCACGGAAGAAAGCGGGCCGGAACGCCGGCCGCATCTACGCCATGAAAGTTCTCCGCAAAGAAGACGTGTTTCGAAAGAAACAAGTCGAGCACACCATGTCGGAGCAGCGCATCCTCAAACACGTCGAGCACCCGTTTGTCGTCCACCTTCGGTACGCGCCACCTGCGAGTCGTCTGGTTGCGTGTTACGTGATGGGAGTGTGAGGCTGTTGCGTGTGGTCGCGGCTTTTGCGGTGCTGTCGACAGGGCGAGTCGTTCTTCTGTATGGAAGTCTTCTTCCAGCTCTCCCTCGGTGGTTTTACAGGCGTCCGTGTCGGCTACCGCTTGTCCATGCTCTTCAACGGCACTTCCACGGTGGTATTGCCTGAATTTGAGCCATTATTGGCATGATCTGCTTTTGGGTCCACGTCCGGCGATTGCCGTTGGGGGGATTGCAGCTTTCCCGAGTGGAACCGACGCCACTGACGTCTCTCGCATGTCCGGTTCGTGGTGCCGCAACGTGACCTCATGAAGTGCTGTGCAAAGGGCCGTCTACGTGGCGGCAGTTGTGTTGACCCGATTCCTGTCGTTGTATCGAAGGCTTGATGGATCTCGTTCGTGACCATGTTGGCTTGTCTTGCGTGTGAATGGATCGAGTGGATGGCGTGCGTGTGGTGGCGGCGTGATGATATCTCGTCGTGCTGGAGAGCACGCGTCATGGGGGTGGTGTAGGTATGCTTTCCAGTCGGACTACAAGCTTTACCTCGTCATGGATTACTACCACGGCGGGTCCCTGTTTGTGCATCTCAAGCAGCTCAAGCATTTCCCCGAGGCCCGCGCACGGTTTTACGCGGCCGAGCTCGCTCTCGCCATGTCGCACTTGCACAGCTTGCACATTATGTACCGCGACTTGAAGCTCGAGAACATTTTGATGGATGCCGACGGCCACGTGGCCATCACAGACTTTGGACTGAGCAAAGAAGACGACGAAGGGTCGACGTTTGTCGGGACCCCAGAGTACCTCGCGCCAGAGTTACTGAGCTCGCAGCGGACGGCCACAAGCTATGGCAAGTCCGTCGACTGGTGGAGCTTTGGGGTACGCCACCTTCCGCCTGCCACTTATAAGTGGCATCGTGCCGTGTACGAACCCGACCTTCACTCGGCGAGTCGGGAATGTAGGTCCTCGTGTACGAAATGATTCGTGGCCAGACGCCGTTCTACGACAAGAACCGCCGCGCCATGTTTCAAAACATCCTGACCAAGGAGCCACCATTCCCGCCGACGTTGTTTTCGCCGACAGCCATTGAATTTTTGCAAGGTGCGATGATGCTTTCCGATCCTTGCGTGTCTAGACTGTGTGCATGCCCCTCGTTCTAACGCGTTGGTGTGCAGCGCTGCTGGTCAAGAACCCTGCCCAGCGCCTGGGGTGTGGCCCAAATGGCCCGCTCGACATCATGCACCATCCGTGGTTTACCGGCATCGACTGGCAGGCCCTCTTGGAACGGCGAGTCGACACGCCATTCCGGCCAAACATCAAACACGGCCAGGACATTTTCAAGTTCGTATTCTTGACATTCCAGTCTCTATCGTGCGCCACTTGACGGCTGCTGGACTGTAGCTACGTGCCCGCGTCATTCCTTCAGCAAGACGTGGCCGATTCGCCCGTCGTAACGTCGTCCGTCCTGAGCGGGTCCATGCCCGGCCGGCAAACGATGCACTTTGACAACTTTAGCTACATGGGCAGCGACATCATGGGGTCCCGCCGCACGTCGTTGTTTCGAGAAAGCGACTTTCGCATGGACGGTGCGTGCGTCGTAATTTTTGTCGAGTTGTGTGTGTTGGAATGTGTGAAACGCTTGGTGTATCGCCGGGACTCGTTGGTGCCACAGCGACTCTGGTGCACGTGACTAGAGTATTGTCTCGATTTGAATGGGCATCGATGGTTGCTTTTGCGACGGAATGGCCTGGCTCATGACGACGCAGAGGACGACCTGCAATGACAAAGCACGGGGACGTCGACCTCTTCCCACATCAAGTTGCTGGCCTCGACGGATATATATAAACGGCAGAGCCCTTGGGCGCACTAAATCTATGGTTGAATCGCTCGGCAGGGTCTCTTGCATCCACGCGCTGGTGAGGCAGTGGGTTTCACGCCGAGGTTCAGGACACTTGCAGGGCTAGCGCGGATCACCCCGCGCAACGACCGAACCATCAACATCGAGCTGGAGATCGGTCGATTCCTGGCCTCGCATATTTTTCTCTCCATCCCGTACCTTGCTTCGATACAATACGGGTCGCTTCACACATCCGTGGAGCGACCCATCCGCTTTTATTGGAATCGCATGCTACCTACTTTCATCGGGCACACGCACAACTACAACGCGCTGGCCACGCGAGTGGCTGGGCTTGCTTTACCAGAACTGCTTGAGCAGCTGATCTGACTCGGTCAGCCACACCGTCAGCATGGTGGCGGCGGCTGTAAAGTGCGAGATGCCCATGCGCTGCACCTTTGCCCCCAAAAAGATCGAGTGCCACAAGTACGCGTAGCATGCAGTACTTGTGCCTGCAGCGACATGCGCCGCCGTTCGCTTGCTGTCGTGGCGGCGATATGCCATCGCGCCAAAAGCGGCGTGGTGCATGGTGAGGCCGACAAGACCGGCATAGGACGCCATGTAGCACCGCCGGCTCGTCTGGAACGCTTTGTCGAGGCGATGGTGGGTGACGAGCCCAACGACTGTGTGCGCGCTCGTTCGATTAAACTTGGGCACTTCCTTTTCGTACTGGAGGACGCCGCCGATGCCCCACATGACGCTGGCAAAGCCCTCGAGGACGTTGGACGATACGTGGTGCGCTTGATGTGGGATCGCCGGGTTCTTGGTCACGAGGTACGCCATGCGCCAGTCCACGACGCCCGACAGCCCGATCAGTGGATGGATTAGGCGAAACATGTGATGCGATACATTTGCAGTCAGGGGCACCGGCTTGGATGTGGGCATCGCGGTGTGTGTGGGTCGAGGCGGTCGAGGCGGCGGCGCCCAGCGAACTCGAGAGTGAGCGCTGGCGCATCATTCGCGACACCCCTACCGCATCCCAGTCATAATATTGTCAGGATGCACTCTTGCTCAACAATATATATATTTCGTCGACCAGGTGGTCGATATTTTGACGCAACATCCCCCAAAATAGCACGAAGAATGAATGTTTTATCGACAATTCGCATGCTCCGCACACACAACAATGTTGGTCTTGATGATTGTAGACCAGTTGCTTGGACGTGCAAAATGTGGCATCGTGGCGTTATTTCGAGAAACTTCAACTTGGCAGTATAAAATAAGCGAAATCGTCCGCCAGCCAATGGATCTGACGTGGCTGGCTGGGGACGCACACGAGGGAGATTCGACCGCATGGGGGTCGACGAGTGGGGGGGGGGAGTCCATGCAACTGGCGACGGCCGTTCAAGGCGTTGGGGGAGGGTCGAGTGTGTCCCACCAGGGTAGGCCTAACGGGTCTCGCCGGGGGGGGAGAGAAGCGCATCCTGGCAGATAGTACAGACGCCAAGAGCGTTAAGAACGTGTCCATTCGCGAATCGCGGTGGGGGTGTGACTCGTATCGAGACGTCTTCGCTACTATGGGTGCAGGCAAGGCGAGTGGAGGGCCAGAGAGATTGTGTCGTACCTCGCAGCGCAACCCGTGGACGTTATGGGTGGTGCGCTTGCGCGAGTATGCGACCTGCGAGAGTTCAACGGTGGGCTTGGTCCTTAACAAAAACAATGGTGCTTGCATTCAAAACCCGGCCCCGTCGACTGTGTTCGCTCAGGCCAACATGACGATCTTGGTGGGCTGGGCCACGTGACGCAGCTTGCGCTCCGTTCGAATGATCGGCACGAGGACGAACTCGAGCATGAGCCCGATGAACCAGATGACGGACGTCACGAAGAAGCACGTCCGATACCCGTACGCTTCGACCAAGTAGCCGCCGACGGCAGACGTGCCACAGAAACAAAACATCGTGAGGCTCTCGAGAGCGTTCCAACGCCCCCGCCACTCCTTGCGCACGTGATCCATCAGGATGGATGACCGTAGGGGCTGCGAGCTCCGCATGATTGCCGTCCTACGAGCCCCGACTCATTCCATGCGCTTCACGAATCGCATTGCGTCCGCAACGTACCGCAGCACAAACAGCACAATCTCAACCCACAGCGACTCGCCATACGTAAATGCCATCAGGATCGCCGCAGCCAAGATGCGCGTCGACACCACCGTTTCGATGTCGCCAACTTTCCTACAGCTTCCGCCATGACCAAGTTGCATGGGAAAGGGCATGGGGCGTACTTGGATACGACCTGGGCGAGCGACGTCGCTGCGAGCACAAGCACTTGCTGCACGAGCACGAGAAAGTTGACGCTGGACGGGGAGAGCCCGTACTCGTTTTGGAGGAAGAGCGGCAAAAACACGAGCGACAGCCCGCTGCCATTGTACATGATGAAGTCGGTACAGAACAAGATGACGGGGACGTGGCGCGGTCCCAGCCACAGGAACGTATTGATCGTGTCCAGGTCGACCACCGCGGTTTGATTGTCTACGTGTGGTGGCCGTGAGTCCGAATCGCAAACATGTTGGACGACGACTTGCCTGCCTCCAACAGCGGCGACGCTTCTCCCGCGATTGTTGTCACCGGTTCAGTTGGAATCTCTTCGACCTGCGCCAAGTCGCCGCTGTCGTCAATGTATGACAACGCACGCTGGTTCCGAGTCGGTTCGGCGGTGGACGCGGCTTGATGGGGACGGAGGTTTTCACAGGCCAGGTCGTCATTGAAAAAGAAGAGCGACACGATGCCGGGGGTACCCACGGCAAGGCCCCCACAAAGCACCCACTGGAGCCCCGACAACGACCACAAGTCTCCGTACCATTGAAAGAAAACGACACTGGCGAGGGGCCCGACCATCCCGCTAACGTTCATCAGCATAAACTTGATGGTAAATGGCAACTCCCGCTCGCCTTGCGGCACAGAGTCGGCGAAAATCGCTTCCAACGCCGGTCGTTGCAGCGCAAAGTACGCGCCCCAGCAACCATACGCAATGTAGAGCAACAGCATATGCCCCTACATGCGGCAAGCGACGTCAGGCATGCGCGTCGTCAGTGCACGTACCAGCAGGTACGACGTCATGCTCATGGCGACGCAGACGAGCCCGAGCGCGCCCGCGACCTTGAGTACAGTGTCGCGGCGAAGCCAGTCGCTCGCGTACCCCCCAGGAATCGCAACCACTAGCCGCACGAGCCCATTGATGCCAGAGACGAGGCCGACCGGTTCGTTCGACCCCGTCAACACATAGACGTAGGCAGCGAGGACTTGATCCAGCAGGATGCTACGGCACGACCAAAAGAACAGCGTGTACACATACGCTAGCCACACATTGTGCTCGATGCGCTTGACATATGCGGCGACTTGAGCGATCGTCGCCATTTTCGCCAATGCTCACGATGCCACGTTTGGACGTTACGAGTGATTTCGCTCGTTGACCTTACGTCGTAATAAAACGTCCTGTTTAAACGAGTCGCGGAGGTTTGAATCGCGTGTTTCGATTGGCTAATCTAGCAGATTATGCCAGTGCATTCGAAAACACCTATAAAACGCTCCAATGGAACGTTTTATTTAACCGGTGGAGAGTGTCGGTCGCGCCCACTGTGGCCATGATGGCCGCCGCCGTTTCCACAGGAACTTGCCGGCGCAAGATCGGCGCGTCCTTGTGGCTAAAATTCGTCGAGGTATTCAGATTCGCACCTCCTTCGTGTTTCATCGCTGTGTTGCCACATCCACACGAACTTGCGGGCGCAAGATTGGCCTAGCATTCGCCTTGGTACATGTATTCAGGCTCAATCCTCTTTCGGGCAACGTCGCAGTGTGCCGTGTCGCTGACGATGCAGCGGTGGAAGACGAATGTGCTCGTTGAGGTACGTACTTGCACATCTTTGCCGCTCCGCATCGAGAGATGGGACACCGTGCCCAAGTGATACCGCACGTCGTCCGAGTCGTTGGGGTAGTCTGGTTCGTCCCGCAGTAAGGCTGAAAGCGGGACATGATGAACCGAAGCGGCCGCTCCAGGACGTTTGCGAGTACATTCAACCGGCCTATGGTCGCTGTCTATTGCGTGATCCACGGTGCGATTTTTGAGCATGCAGCACGAGGAAGGTGACGCCGCTGTGACGAGCAAGGCCGGAGTCAACGAGGTGCTGTTGTGTACGTTTAACTAGTTCGCGTCATGCGATCGAACATGTTGGCATGGGGACCAGTTGGATTATCGTGGGCCATGTTGTCAGCGGCGTCCCTCGTGAGCAACCGATGGCAAGTGGGTCCCGCGATTCTTGAGCTTGCGCTCGTTGCGAATGATGGGCAAGAGGACGAGCTCGAGCATGAGCCCGGCCATAAAGATCAACGACGTGACAAAGAAGCAGAACCGGTAGCCGTAGCGCTCAATCATGAAACCACCGGCCATGGCACTGCCCGAGTAGCAGAACATCGTCAGCCCTTCCAGCGCATTCCACCGCCCGCGCCATGCTTTCGGGACGTGGTCCATCAGGATGGACGCGCGGATTGGCGCCGAACACCGCATGAATGCAGTTCTAACGCCATCTCTCAGTGTTCAGCCCGACGACACTCAGGACGAACGTTGTACCGAGTCAAGAAAAGCGTGATCTCGAGCGTACGAAATGGACAAGAGCACCATCGACGCGAATATCCGCGTCACCACCACCGACTCGATATCGCCAAACCTCCTGCGAGCAACACATCCGTTAGCACGTCGAAGCGGACGGCCAACGTCGCCTTCCGATATGCTGACGAAGCGCATGACGATGGATGGGCGGACGTACGCAGAATAGCGCTGGGCGGCGGACGTGAGGAGCACGATGAGCGCCGGTTGAATCACGAATAACGTGTTGACTTGGGCGGGGGTGAGCCCATATTCGTTTTGAAAAAAGAGCGGAAAGAAGCTGATGGACATGCCGCCGCCGTTGTACATGATAAAGTCCGTCACAAACAAAATGGTGGGGATGTGCCGCGGCCCGAGGCAGTAAAACGTGTTGACAGTGTCCCCAACTACAAGTTTGTTGGTAAAGGCATCATCTGCACAGAAGTCGCGCAGACTCGCGTCGAGGTTTGCTGTCGAAACCAGTGGCTGCCATGGAACCAAAACGACCTCCGACGCCACACACACACACACACACCCGTCAGTCCTTTCGGAATGCATTGGGGCGGCGGCGGCGTTCATGGCCAACCGCATCAAGACACCATCGACGAGCATGCATGGCCACGACGACCTCGAGAGAACGACGTACGTGCAGACTCGTCGTCGTTTTGCAACAGCAAAGATCGTTCTTTCGTCGCAGATCGATCGTCGCCGATGTCGGACAGCTCGCCATCTTCTACAACCGACAACCGCTCCGCGCGCCGCGTGCTGTTCTCGTACGCGAGGTCGTCGTTGAAGAAAAAGAGCACGATCAAGCCTGGAAGCCCCACGACCATGCCCCCACAGAGCACGATTTCGAGCCCCGAAAGCGACCATGAATCGCCATACAGATAGAAGAACACGATGCTTGCAATCGGGCCAAGCGCCCCCGCGACGTTCATCAGAATGTACTTGATCGTCATCGGGCCTTCGCGCTGGCCGTTGGGAATGGAGTCAGCGAAGAGGGCTTCCGTGGCCGGGCGCTGGATCGCAAAGTACCCGCCCCAGCACGCGTACGCCACGTAAAGGAGGACCATGTGGCCCTGGACCATCGCAAGATTAGACTATACACAGGAGGGCCAGACACCATACTGAAATATACGCCGACACACTCAACATGGCACAGAGGAGGCCGAGTCCGCCGGCGAACTTGAGCACTGTGTCGCGGCGAAACCGATCCGAGGCGTAGCCGGCAGGAAACGTGACGAGGATGCGCACGAGGCCATTGATCCCCGTGACCATCCCGACCGGCTCGTTCGACCCCGTCAAGACATAGATGTACCCGGCAAGAACTTGGTCCAAGATGATGCTGCGGGAGGACCAGAAGAACACCGTATACACGTACGTGAGGCGCACGTTGTGCTCGAGCGCCTTGTACTGCTGGACAAGGTGGCGCAGCATCCAAGTTGGTAAATGAAATCGACGTGCTCGATGCTGGCAACAGTCCAAGGTTGGCTCGATGTCGAGGGCCCAAATGTGGCATGTCGAATATATCAATATATACACAATACTATACTACTTATTAAAATGAATACAGGATATACGTGTCATTTTGCTTCGATCGTATTCTTTGATAACACGACGTGAATTTCACGCAACCGCACTCTGTACATGGCTACGTCACAACACGCGGCCGTCGCAGCCCGATCGAAGAAGGCGGCGCATGCTTCATATGTGTGTTGCGGCACGCAGGATGGAGCGACCCGTGGCAACGAACCCCTTGCAAGCCCCCGTCGCGGGGTGCTGGAGTGCGAGGGTTTCCTTGAACGACTAGGATCGCCATACGTTGGCACTGCACAAAGATCAAACTCGACACGGCATGATTTACAACGGGGGTCCGGGGGAGCACGTGGCGTATGGCGATCAAACGAATGATCGCAATACCCCTTCACGCATCCACTGGAGCGCTGCAACATGCTCGAATCGTCCATGCTTCAGGAAAACACACACACACATCATGCACGTCGAGAGCATGAACAGCAGTATGGGATGGCTGTCCACGATGTCGTCGTCGACAAAAAGTACTCGTCGCCGAACCAACATTACCCATGTCCCCCCATCGTGTCGACCTGTACTCAAAGGAGTAGAAGCTCGCCTCCGACTCCACTGTACGAGTGGGCATCATGAAAGGTAGCAGTGCTCGAGCCGCGCGTAGTGGGAGCTGTTCATGCTGTGCAGCGTCGAGTAATCGACAAGATATCGATGCTCCGTTCGGTTGGATTAACATGTCAGGATGAGAACATGACGAGGACGAATCTATCCTGGTGCATGTGGCAGGTGTGCATGGAAGCGAGCCAATCAAAAGCGACCGCAGGGCCCGAAGACGACGAACATACGACCGAGAGCTCTCTGCCGAGACCATTTCGACCGAGACGGTCGCGCGGCCGCAAGAGCGCCACGCAGCGAGCGTGCTATGGACCATCCGTCGTCTCGCTACAGCTTCGTTGCGGCCATCGACGTCATGTTTGCCATCGTGGCGACGCACTGGCTCTGGTGCATTCGACCGCTTCCAAAAACGTACCTCTCCGAGATCATCTTCCCAGTGCAGGTCCGTTGCTGTCCCCATTGTGGTACTTGACAGGTTTTCGTGCATGCAGTTGTGTCTGCGCGCACTAGCTTCCCTGTGGCTCGCACTTGTGACGGTCATCACGGCCTTGTACTCCATTTCGTGGGGGTGGCCACCCGAGTTGCCATCCGGCACGTTCCTGGCCGCAGACAGCCTGGCATGGGTGCGCACATGCATGTCCAGACGTCGCGCAATGAATACTGAATCAACTAGGGGATGTCCACGGCACTCATTTGGATGGAGCACCGACGGAGCTTGCGAACGTCGCCGTACCTGCGCGCGTTTTGGATTCTGCGGTGGTCGTTGCTGACAAAATATCTCTGGGGTGTCCTGGTGCGCCGTGCGCAGTTGCATGGCGTTGTTCTGACAGGTTCTTCTTGACGCAGACCAACGACGACCCAGCGGCTGTGGGGTGGACATCGCCCATGGTTTTGTTATACGCGTGCTTGTTTGTGACCCACTCGATCCTGGCGTCGGCGGGGGTGTGGCCCACGCGGCAACTCACCACGTCGTCGCCCGAAGTTCTCGCGATGGCCCGCGCGCGCATCAAGTCGTTCAACGGCAAGTCGTTTATGAACCGACCGTTGCATCCTTCCAGTTGGGTGGCGCACCGCGGTCAGGGTCCTGTCCCGGGGAGCTACGGTTCGTTCGGACAAAGCAGCACGGCACCACACGACGGCACTCCATCCCCTCTGCCAGGCCTGGCACACACGCCCGTCGTCGTTCGCGTGCCAAAGGTCAAGATTTGTATTCCAAGCTGGACGCTCTCGCGGCGGTCGGAAATCTCGTACGTGTCGTACAAGGTTCGATGCGTTCGCCGCGCCAAGAAAGCTCGCACGTTCTCGTAGGTTCTCATCTTGTCCGAGGGCGAAACGTGGAGCGTCCGGCGGCGGTACAGCGACTTTGCGCATCTACGAAGCGAGGTACGTTGCCGCTGGGGCGGTGCTGGCGCGCGGGGTGCATGCCGACGCTGTTTGCAAGAGATGGCGTGTTGAATGCACTTGTAGCTGCCACACTGGATCCGGTCGGGCGCGGCATTTCCTGACAAGTCGCTATTCAAACGGTTCGACCCCAAGCGGATCGATACCCGTCGCGCGCAACTCGAAGCGTTTTTGAATGTAAGCCCCACGTGGATGCTTTTCACACCGAATGAGACCGTCGTCCATGCAGCATGTCGTGGGCCATCCAGACTTTGACGCGCAACGGAGCCTCGTCCTGTGCGATTTTCTCGACTTGGTACAGTCGAATCCGTCGCCCTCCCCACGCTGCTCTCCGACAAGATTTTTTCACGGGTATCTGGTAGGAGTACACTGCCGACCCCAACGACTTTGTCGTGTAAATTGGTCGAGCTCGCAAGCGTCTCTTACGAATAAAACGTCAAGAGGTTGAGTCGTCCGTCGCGTTGGCGGGGGTGCGTCTGTTGCTTCTGATGTCCTCTTCTGCCGAGGTGCTTGGCCGGGTCACGTCAGCCAAGGTGGCGCCTTAGCAACATGATGAAGCTTCTAGTGTGTACCTTGAAGGTGTTAAGAGCATACTTCGTGTATTTATTTGGTTTGGGTCAGGGTGGAGAGCGGGATGGATCGACGTCGGTGTGGTTGGTTGTTCACGCCAGCTTGACAACGGCCGACTTGGCTTGTTGCTGGAGGCGGCGATGATGGCTTCGAATGATCGGGACGAGGAGGCCCTCGATGGCGACGCCGACGACGTAGATGACAGCCGTAATGAAGAAGCAAAACCGGTAGCCGTGGCGTTCGATCAGATAGCCCCCAACAACGGCGCTGCCAGAGTACGTAAACTGGGTGAGGCCTTCGAGGGAGTTCCAACGTCCACGCAAGTGCTGGGGCACGTAATCCATCAACAGCGACGTGCGCAACGGCTCCGAGCATCGCATAAAGCCGCTCCTATGTCGCAAAAGCACATGAGGTATGGCCACCGACGAGTCGCCGCACCGTAGCAAAAACAGCCCGATTTCGACCGGCAACGGCGTCACAAATGCCATCGCACCAAGACATAGAGTGGCAAAAATCCTCGTCGCCACGACGGTTTCGATTGTTCCTGTGACCCTACGCATCTCGTTAGACTCGCTCAAGCAGAATGGCCTACGTGGACACACGCTGGGTGAAGTACGACAAGACTACGATCAAGAGCGGCTGGACAAAGTACAAAATGTTGACTTGCGACGGTGTGAGGCCGTAATCGTGTTGAAAAAACACTGGAAAAAAGCTGATCGTCATGCCCGCGCCATTGCAAATGACAAAGTCGGCAAAGAAGAGCAAGTACGGCACATGACGCGGACCAAAGCACAGAAATGTGTTTTCGTTCGTGATGGCGCTGGTCGGGGACGCCACGGACTCTAGAATTGGAGTTAAACCCACGATCATGAAGCACCGGAAATGTGAATGATGGCGCAAAAATGCGCGTACCAGAGGTCAACGTGCTCGTGGCCGCGGGTTTCGGAGACGCACCAAGCAACTTGGAAGACTCTTTCGCCGGGGATTTGGACAAGCTGGTTTCGTCGTCCGTCACGGCAAACTCCAGCACACCATCTTCATCGACAAAGGAGAGGGCGCGGGGCTTGAGGGTGCATGTCTGGGTGTAGTTTTCATACGCCAAGTCATCGTTGAAAAAGTAGAGCAAAACGAGGGGCGGAACGCCAATTATAGTCCCGAAAATGAGCACGTATTGCAATCCCACTGACGCCAATTATCCGTTATGATAAGACCAAGGAACACGCATCACGACGGAGACGCACGTACCGAGGTTCCACGAGTCGCCGTAGATGAGAAAGAAAATAATGCAGAGGCCAGGTCCAGCCACCATGGCAGTGTTCATGAGCATGTGCTTGATTGTGATGGGAAATGATCGCTCGCCATTTGGGATCGAGTCAGCAAACAAAGCTTCCAACGCCGGTCCTTGCAGTGCGCAAAAGATGCCCCAAAATCCAAACGCAACGTAAATCATCATCAAATGACCCTGCGCAACACGTAATATCATGCAACATTCAGAGAGACGACCGTTGTTTACCATGTAGAACGCAATGACTGACAAGAGCGCGCAGAAAACACCAAGCACGGACGAGATTTTCAAGATCGTGTCGCGGCGAAAGCGATCGCACGCCCAGCCCCCTGGAATCGCAGCAATCATTTGGACAACCCCTTGAATGCCCTTGACCATTCCCACGGGTTCGTTCGATTGAGTCAGCACAAACACATACCCCGACAGCACTTGCTGAAAGATAATGCTAACACCACGTCAACAATGCGCACGATTCCATCACGATCCATGGCATCGTGGGGATTCATACCTGCGGCAGGACCAAAACGTGATGGTAAACAGGTACGAGAGCTTTACGTTATGCTCGGCGTCCCGTGCGTACGTCCATAGCTTGCCCAACATCCTTCACCGCGGCAGTTGTCGTGATGGTTCCCTGGCGAATTTGAAAATGGCAACCATCCCACCCTTAAGCACACCCTCAAATGTCACACCACATATCGTCACCATTGTCATGTGATCATACAAGCATCAAGTATATCAACTGAAACGGCTGGAAACCCGAGCACCCAAAATGTCATTGGGCCGTTTCCAGGAACTGGCACATGTCCAACGCGTTGACGACAACGACGACACCTCCACTTCGTACTCGTGGCCATTCCTACGTGCCTTGCATGGTGCAGAGCCATACGAGCTACCTCACGTGCACGATGGCATCGCACCATTCGCTATATCTCTGCTGGTAGTGCGACAATGACGACGGAAACGAACTCCGTTGCTCGACCTCGGAACATCATGGATGTGTGCAATGCAGCTGACCAATCAATTTGCAGGATGGCTGCGAGTTTCCTTATATCAAAGGTAACACCCCCACGGTATAAGGTCACGTGGCATGGTCGGCTGTGGAGACATCCACGCGTGCAGCACGTGACCCAACGGTGTGTATTCGAAAACAGTTTCGTAATGTCTAACTTGTCACCGCAATGAGTTGAGGCATCGACTCGATGGTGAATCCTAGCTCTCATTTGTGTGGGTGAATCGGTAACGTCTGTTCGATGTGGGGTGTTAATGTGCTGATTTAAGGTGTTTATGGCGCCAATTGCATCAGCGCATTCTCGTGCATCCGTTGAAACTTCCATGGTGATCAGCATCGACGCGACTTCCTCGCGGTCCACATCTCGAAATTGGCATGAGTCAGAGCTATCTTACATTGTGTAACGTGCATACCTTCCGACCATGGCGCGAGCGTGCGTTGAAGAGGTTCGCCTTCTCACCAAATGCAATGCTACTCGTGAGGCAGGGGGTTGTTCCCATTATCCGTATGAAACCGGATATTGTGACCGTTCGAACGAGAAGATCCAACCGGCACAACACCTCCAGCCAAGATGGCGTGGCGCTACCTGCAGCAAATGGATCACAATGTGAAATTGAGTTTTTTGTACACCCTGGCGTTTTGGTCCTCGCGCAGGTACATGCGAACTGTGTGGCCACCAGCCGTCTGATCGCCATTGGTAGCATCGTGTTTGAACAGATCTTGTCGGGCTACGTGTTTGTGCTTACGTCTTCGAACGAGCCTGTCGGGTACATCAAAGGAGTGCAAGGTAGACGTCGGCGATTTAGCGGGATGTCCAATTCACTTTGAGCGTACTGCAGGCATTGTGCAATTGCTGGTGGCCATTCCAGGGGGATACGCCAGCGACCACTGTCGCCGCGACACTGTTCTGAAATGGTCTGGCGGGATTGGTTTGTGCTGTGCATTCCTCACGTTGTTTGCGCTGTTTATGGTACTGTCGACTCTGTTCCGTGACTCTCGAAGGACTCAACTGTTGAGTAGAATCACATGCCTCTCTTGTACGTTGTGTTTGCACTGTGGGGGGTTTTCTTCGCATTGCAAGTGCCGGCGCTTGAAGCGCTTTTCGCTGACTCGGTTCCCCAAGGCAAGCGAGCCTTCCCAATCACGATCAAATACGTCTTGACGACTGTCGCCACCATTGTCGGTCCGTGTATCTGCGTGGTACTATTTCAAGTCGAAGGGGACACGTGGAACTTGTGGGAGCTGCAAATGGTGCTGATGGTTGGCATGGCACTTGGGATCCCGCCGCTCTTTTTGCTCTTTTTCTTCAACGACGATTTGGCTTACGAAAACAGCATCAAAGGTGACAAAAACGCCGAGCCCAACGAAGCACAGCCGCTTGTGCGCGTCAAACCAGGTGCGAAGACCTGTCTTTGCCTCCATGACAAGGGATTCCCTTTCATGTGCTTCTCTTTGTGTAGATGAGGCATCGTTGGCAGCGGAACACAATACGTTTCTGTGGTTTGGCCCGCGCCATGTGCCGTACTTGCTGTTTGCTTCGGACTTCATCATTTGCAACGGCGCGGGCTTGACCATCAATTTCTTTCCCGTCTTTTTTCAACGCGACTACGCGATGACCCCGTCGGAAGTGAACGTGCTGTGGGTGGCCCAGCCCCTGTTGGTCGTCGTGCTGTCGCTCGTATGTCAGCGCTGCGCCACGTACGCATTCAACATCTGTTCGTGGACTCATGGTTCGTGCAGGTGGTGCGGCGACATTGAAACCATTGTCGCCACACGAGTTTTTGCAACAGGGTGCCTCGCCCTGATGACGTACACGACGCCCCTGCGCTTCGAAGTTGGTCTCTTTCTCCTGCGGTGCGTGGCAGCCATGCTATGTAGACTAACTTGCCAGGCAGGAGCGGGTTCATGCGATGCTCGGAACCGTTGCGGTCGTCTCTCCTCATGGACTATGTGCCACAGCACTTGCGCGGCCGTTGGAATGCGCTGGAGGGACTGACCCAATTCACGTATTCTGGAAGCGCTATGGTCGGTGGCTACCTCATCGAACGCCACGGATATCGGTACTGCTTTCTCATCACGGCGGCCATTTACGGTGTCGGGCTCTTGGCCGAGTTGTTGCTCGTTCCTATCATCCGAAACGATCCCAAATCACGGTCGAAGGAGCGCAACCACTAGATTCCTCGTGCTCATGCTGCACAGCCATTGGAATAAAGAAAATACCACCTTTTGTGCAGCTCCGGGTGGCCACGCATGGCCATGAATCCCTCCCACGAGTTGTGCAGAAGGCACTGCAAACGGTTGCAAAACTCCCCCTGGCCATCGATCATTCACCATCACTCACATACACGGCTGTGTGGGAAAAATCTGCCCGAGTGGCCGCTGGACCGCTGGCCTCTCTCCCATCGATGGCTTGAAGAATGCAGGGCGGAGGACACATGTCCACCGCATCGTCACGACTGCGCTCGCACTGGCGGCATTTCGTTTGGTCACTGACTGATCCTATCGTCCAGTGTGCATCCGCACCATCATTCGAATATGTTCGCCGTGGGGTGTTTTTGAATCGACATGTCATCGATTTCTTGTGGCTTGGACGGGCTTGGTTTCACCCGTGGTGGTTCTTGTGGCGGGCCAGTGCCACCGCAACAAGCATGCCGCCAAAGCGTGATGGACAGACGTGCCACACAAAAAATCTCTCGCCCTACGACCCACGCTCTCACCCGACCTCGTACGACAACACCAACCACCATGTCTAGCCGAACTACTACGACCACTACCACCCAATCCACAGCCCCATCCACGATCGACACGTCATGTTCCTCACGACAGTCGATGCCGTTTTCGTCAGCCGTCTCGGCTGGCGTCAATCGGGAATGCTTTGACCCGTCCAACGATTGGGACGGATTGCAACTACAACGCTATCATATCAAACTCTTCCGTGTGTGTCGTGCTGCGGGGTCAATTCAGCATCCGGCTGTGGTCGCACCTGTTGGTGGACGAATGGCTCGTCAAGTCTCCATGTAAGGTGGCAATGGTTGTGGAGCAGCTGGAGAGGAACCGTCGAACGACAGCGTTTGCTCTAGGCCGCGATGCATCGCTGGTGTACTGGGAACCCAACGCGGGGGGGCGGAGCGTCGTGTCGGAGGCGCTCTCGATGGAGTACATGCACCAGCGCTTCGGCGCCATGGACGTCGTGACCGAGATGCAAATTGAGTACTGGAGCCCCAACTGGAAAAAGGTCGACTACCTTTGCACGATATACGGCCAGCGCATTGCCGTGAGTGTGACACGGGCTATGAAGTTTCACAAGAACGCAGTCTTCACCACGTCCGACGCCCAAACTTTGCTGCGGAAGAAGCTGTACGGCCTCGTCGTCGCCAAGGCGGGTGTGTGCAATGCACAGCGCTACACCAAATCGGTGCTTCACATTTGGTGCCAAACCACGGCCATTGCTCGGACGTTGGCTATGTGCCACGGCGCGGTTGTGGCCGACCTTGATATCGTTGAGAACGTTATCTTGATCGCGACCGTGGCCCGCGAAGAAGGCATCTTCGACAATAATTTGGTCCTGCTCGACCCTCAACAGATTGGAGCGCTGCAGACGTCCCCACGCCACGATCTGTGAATAGCGTAGTGACCGAAATGTGTGGTCAAAGGCCAAAAAATGCTCTGTGTTAAACATCAATTGCATTCCTGATCGAAGTAGTTCCGGCTGTGGGACGCATCGATAGTGAGGACTTAATCGGCGTGATGGCCTCGCATACTGTTCGCCACTACCGCAACCACCCACGACAGCAAGCCATTAGGTGGACCTCGGTCATTTCGCCGCAGCGAAACGTTGGCACTCCCATCATCACACGTTCACGACCATCAGGTGTACCATGTGGTGGATAACACAATACCCAGGGATTACCACCGATCAGGTTTCGCGTAGCCTTGGCCAATGCAGCCTGCCGTGTGCGACGCAGGCATATCTGGGCATGGTGTCCCCGGCGTGGATGCACACTTACAGCGGCGTCGACCTCTTCATCTTGACGATCATTCTCGAGGGTTGGTGCCGGGAATTCAAACAGCCAAACCAATGTCGATAAATTAAAATTCCATAGGAAAATGCAGAAATTCAACGTTGACATTTATTGAATTATTGAAAAAAAAACGCGCACAACGAAGTACTTTTAGCAAAGGTGCGAATAAAAGTTTCAACCTACAACAAGAGAAAGCTGCATATTATTACAGCCCACGTACTGTAGAAATAAATATCTCAGGCTGAGAAACGCGAGATTGGCTATTTTTTCACATTTTTTTCCTGCTTCAACTGTCAAAATGGCTAAAAACGTGGCGACAATGCCAAAATTTTAACCCGAACATCCAAAAATTCACCAAAATGCCCAACCCTCGTCCCTCCAAAATTCCAAAAAGCAGCTCAGTTTTAATTTTCACTTCAACACCGCACTGTCTCGAGCGCGGCGTGACCTTTTCTTCCCGGCTGCATGTGGACGACACCATGGAGTCACCGTGTGTATTTCGCCGTCATGACATGTGCATACTATATCGAGTACTGCTACGAGCTGTTGTGGGAGTTTCTGGAGAGCCCGGGTTCGTGGCACAAGTACACGGAAGTCGGACCCCTGTCGGACGCCATCTATGGTAACATCGTACTGTGCGTGGACAACAGCACGGGCGACGCGGTCGCGATCAAGCGCGCGAAAGCCGTCAACTGCAAGTTCCGCCGACCTGTCTCCAAGGCCCTGCATCACATGGTGGCTGTCTACGAAGATATTGAAATGGAACGCACGATTCTGCGCGACTTGAACCATGTCCACGGCGGCCACCCTCACATCCTCAAGCTTCGCGACGACTTTCTCTCGAACGGATATCACAACTTCGTGCTGGAATACTGTCCTCATGGCGACCTCATGGACTTGCTCCTCGCTCAAAAGCGATTTTCTGTGGACCAAGCTCACCGCTTCCTTCGGCAAGTTGCGTCAGCCGTGCACTTTATGCACACGTGCGGTTATGCCCATCGCGATTTGTCCTTCGAAAACGTGTTTGTTGATGCAAAGGACGAGTGCAAGCTCGGCGACTTTGGACTCGCTATCGGCCTACAAGCGCGTCCACGGTACCCTGCTGGGAAACCTCGGTACACAGCACCTGAAGTGTACTTGGGGCAGCCGTATGCACCAGGCCAAGTGGACGTGTGGGCACTCGGTATGATGCTATTTATTATGATCACGGGTGAGCCACTTGCAGAAAAGGCCGTGTCGACCAATTCAAAGTTTCAGCTGCTCGCACAGTGCGGTGTCAAGCACGTCATAGCCACGAATTCGACCTGGCGTGCTCTCGTCCCACCAATGTGTGTCGACCTCCTCGGGCGCATGCTCATATTGGAGCCTCAGAATCGCATCGATATGGGCGCCGTTATGATTCATCCGTTTGTAGCGACAGATCCGCCGCAGTAGCTCCCTAGCCTATTTACGCTTTTTTGTTTTAACGTTATCATCGATGTGTTTGCAGATCGTCGTCGAGCGATTTCTAGCCAGTGGATGGTGCGTGTACCAGTAGAACCAGCCCAACGTAGCACCACCGCCTCCCAGCACTCCTTCAAAGATGGGCTTGATGAAGCGGCCACTGTTGTGCGAATTCGTTTACTTGCTCGAACACTCAGTCGCCCCATTCTCCCTCGACTTCGAATGCATTTCCAAGACTCTGGATCGTTCGATTCGGCCGACCAGCTCGTCCAGCGGATGCCAGTTGGAGCTTCGGTCGATCTCGCCTTCGCCATCCGTTTGACCTCCTTCGCACTACGTGGTAGCAATCGCGTCAATGCATAATTTGCTTCCTTCGTCGTCAATTCGTTCATTGTATGATTGCATGACGGCCGAGTGCTGAAGGTTGTCGACGAACCGCGTCCTCGACGTCATTCGAATGAGCAAGCGCCGACGCGCACGGCGTGTTCAGTGAGACAAGAGGTTCCTTGTTGACCACATCTGAATCTGGTCGTGTCTGGCGCAAGATACAAAAGCGTCTGCGATATGCTTATCTAGCTGATTGCACGATTTTCGCAGTAGCATTTGCAAGGCGAAGGCACGATGGCCTGAAAATAACGTATAGTCCGCCACAACTTCCGCCTCGTTCATGTGGCATTCACGGCGGCTTCGCACACCACTTGCCGAAGATCGAATGTGGGGTCAACTTTCCTTTGGCGCAGCGCCACCTCCCCCAAGAGGCTGCGCAGTTGAGTCTACCTGCAGCATCCATTCCGTGTTGGGTCCCAAGAACTTGAGGCAGCGATCGGCGTCGCCGACGTGGATGGGCAGAAGAATACAACAAATAATCGAGTAGAATCCGATTGTCGAGTACGGACGGGCAGGATCAAGAAATCGCTTTGCCAAAATGCAGTGGGTGTACAAAGATAAAATCAGCCTCGAGAAAAATAAAACAACACTTGGCAATATAAACTTGTCCCCTCGATCGATGTGACGCGGATTGGATAAGATCGGATGATGTCTGTGCGCAAAAACTTAACATACGACATAAATCCAACGAATAGTCTTCGCACCCATGCGCAATCGCCGCCAGCGTCTATGTTGACGCCTCCGACTACAAGCAACGACGGAATGGTTCGCCCATAGGTACTTCGAGACAATCCTCAGTAGCATCAGCTGATTGGACAACTTCGACAGAGGGTTCAAAATATAGCGAATCAAAATTTTTAGAAGATAAATTCGCGATACAGTGAGGTCTCTCATTAGTGCACGCGAGATATTTTTCAAGGGAATATTTACATTCAAAGGTTTAATGGGGTGAGCAGGACCTGTAAAATTCTATAGAACAAGCGAGCGAATTGTTGGAGGGCAAATACGAGTGGCCTCCATGCTTGCCACCAGCTCGAAAAAGCCATCGTCAAGGATGCTGGTATGACGCCAACAGTTTGATATCGTCGAGGAGGTAACAGCGCACCAAGCGTCATTTGCCCATTGAATGGCACGAGCAAGGTCAACGTACAGAAGCTCATCGACTTGCTCCTTGCTTAGGCGCACGAACTCAGCAGCGTCTTGAAGCGCATCGACCTTGCTGACGATGAAGTCTGTCCGAATGCGTTGAAGATGAGCCTTGAACGAGCGAATTACCGCAGCGTCCAGAGACTGCATATGGGCGGTCGTATTTGGCGGTAAGAACTTGACCGTGACGTTCGACAATAGATGATCGTTTTGCTGACCGTAGTGTGGCGAGGCATTGTCCAGTAGTAGCAATACCCGGTGATCCGTTTCACGTATCTCCTCGTTGAACTTGTCCAGCCAGCGTCGAAATATTGGTGAGGTCATCCACCCCTTGCGCGAGTTCGTATAGTTGAACTCAGCGAACTCCTCCACCGATAGGCTGTTGAAGCATCTAGGCACCCGAGCACTCCCAATGAACAACAGGGGCTTTTTGTGCGGACCATCCGCATTGACGGCAAGAGCAACAGTGAGTCTCTTCTTGTTGTCTTTGCGTCTGGCGACTTGCTTCGAGGAAACGGAATTTCGGCTGACTGGGCAGTAAAAGTAGGTGGTTTCGTCCAAATTGTAAATGTCGCGCTTGGCAAAGTCCTTGGTTGCATCTTGAAGAGCAGCACGACCAGCCTCAACGTCGCTCGGGCGAGCCGATGCCGCTTCACCATGAACTCGACGGAATTTCAACGCGCGCCGACGTAAGAATTTGGTGACGCAACACTTCGATTGTCGTAGGGACCTGAGGCGTTTGGTGGCCGTAGCTTGCGAGTTGACTTGTGACAACATAACGTTGCGAATTCGTTCTGCATTGTATCGGATTGTGTGCTGAGTTACTATGGTCAAGCTTGAACGCTCGCAAAAGCGAATCCATTGGAGCAGTTTTTGCTCAAGTTCGGGGGACGTGACTGGCTGAATTGTTTTACTTCGCGGGCGCTCATGGACAAGACATGCTGTGGGTGGGCTTCCAAGGATCAACCGCATGGTTGACTTCGCGGGTGCCTTGGGAAGTTTGAGCGTTTCGTGGGCCCACGTCGCCAATGCACTCAGACAGGTGCTTGTTTTGAGCATAATATTCGCACACTGCACACTTCTGCGTTAAGGTCATGCGCACTCGGTCAGGCGTGACCACCATGTTGGCTCATCACGTGGAATGTGCGGCAATGAGGAGTGTGTTTGAATTTCGCGCTTCAAAGTTTGAAAATTTGCTAAAGACACTACACCAAGAGGCAAAACTCTATGAGCTGATAATGCATAGAATCTCCTGAGGTATTTGTTTTGAGAGCGTGCACTTATGGGAGACCTCACTGTATCGGATGAAATTTTCAGGTGTATTAAAATTGTCGGGAGACGTTGTACCGTTTGAATATTAGAGTGATTTTGCAACAAGAATCCATACTACTCTGGTCGGGTATAACTGTCAACGATTTTTGAGAGACTTGATCAAATTTTAATGGACATTATCTATATTACTACATGTACTTGATTTGGAGAATTCAATTTGATCACGGCATTGTCAACGATAGAGTCCTCACATTCCAGGTTGAACGATGCCAAGTCTTCGATTGTCGAGTCTTTTTTCATATGCACGAGCTTATAATTGTTA